TTTCTTTAACCAATGGTCTCTGAAGTCATCAGAAAAATCTGTATCTACTGTAAGGGATTCTAAAGGTTGGTCCAAATTTGCATGTAAATATCGTGCATATTCTGAAATAACAAATGTATCACAAATTACAATATATTCTTAACAAGAGCTGTCAATGGGACAGCATGCTTGACTATTTTTAGTGCTTGACAGTAAAACAAGTGTCTGGATAATGTAAAATTTTCTATTCTCAAAAAGGGACATAATTCTGTCAAAATTCATGTTTGAGTTATGGGCCTTGGGTAGTGACCTCCTAATATGCTCTCGAAAAAAGTGTGTGAAGTTTCAACCATTCCCTTAAGTACTTCTATATATACCAACTTGCATGCAAAAACTTAACAGAAGTGTGACGTCTGGGTGAGTACTACAGTTCTTCATATTTTTCAATAAGTCTAAAAATAAATTAATTATACATGTGATAAATACACATAACCAGGCTTTACAAGGAACAAAACAAAGAAAGTAACAAACTTGCATAACTTACCTCTGAGATAATGAGCTTTTAAAAAATCTGGACTAGCTTTTAACACTGGTCTATTCTGTACCATAACCTGTAACAAGAGTGCATGATATTGATAATATATAAACTTAGTACACAGTGTTGTATTTACCTAAAATTGATGTTATGTTTTTATTACATATGAACCATCTGAATTTGCTAATGGGCCTGACCTTTGGTGATAAAAAGAAGTAAGGCCTAAAAAAAAGAAATGTTGTGTTTCCGGTGGCCCGACCGACCCTATTTTTTAGCGCCGACCCAAAGTTTTTTATCGATGTACAAAAAAAAAAAAAAAATGGCGCCCGTACCGACCGTACCGAAGACGGGTTTTAGTATTGAGAGTCGACAACGATGTGAGGCACAGACGATTCGGGTTCCAATTACGTATTAACGCGCACCGGCTAATATGGCGGCACAACAAGCAGCCGAAGTGTCACTGCTGGCGATTTTCTTTAAAAATACGATCATAGTTTGGCAAAACAGGAAATCAAATTAATAGACCACAGCAAAACAGCTCCGACCTACCGACCCTACTTTTTTTCGCCTCGCCACCAGAAACACATCAATTTTTTTTTTAGGCCTAACCCTCTACAGGTTCCAAAGTTTTTAAATGAGGTGTGTCACAGGAGTCTTAACTGCCCATTGTTGATTAGAATATCAAAATGCTGGCACACAGATAACTGAGATTGTATTTATTAAGCAGCCATCTGTATAAAGTCTGGTCAGAATGCACCAATGCTATCTCTGACCTGGCATTGGCAAGCCTACTAATGCCATTAATATTCAAATTTTATATGGCCGACATTATATCCAGTTTATACAAGAATGACGAAAACAGTAACAATTCCTTTTAAATTTGTTTATCATGATTTATTTATGATATGAATCCTGCGTCACATGTTGCAAACATACATTTCAAACTGAAACTGTTTCATGTAAATTTTTCTAGCTATGATAGCTTGTATATGATTCTGTATAAGGATAAGTGACGCAGAAATATCAGCAAATTTTGCAAATTGACCAAAATCGCTAAAATTTCCTTTAACGTAAATATCACAAAACCCGTTTTCAGTTTTCAAACTACACAGAGATTGGTGATTTGCAAATATTTCCACACAAGGAATGTCTCTAGTTTTAAATTTGCTAGCTTTTCGACATGCTGAAATATCCACCACAGTACTAAATGAAAGTGTAAAGTTAACAAATTGTTTCTTACTTTGGTTGCTGATTTAACACCATCATAAAATCTTCCTACTGCAGTAGCTGATAAGGCTTTCATGTAGGCACAATTAACATTATCTTTCTCCTCCTCTATACATTTCTAAAACATCAACAAAACAGTTTTAGTTATATTTCTTACTACTTTTCTGCCCTCTCTTATTAACAAATTGGTTATTTTAATTTGAATATGTTTGTTACAAGAAATATTATCGGTTGATTTACCTGTTAGAAGCCCCTTCCTTTGCTGAAAAAGGCTTAAAATGTCAAATATACAACATTAAAACTGGCTCTTTATTTGTTTGTTTGTCTTAAATCCACTACAAAGAAAATTTCAGTCCTAATAATCCCATAGAATGTTATAAGGACATTCAGTCAACATGTATATTTATGAATCATTTCAGACAACAGGCTTTGTCTTAGAAGAACAATAAACATTAAAGGCTCCATAACATTAAAGCAAAAATAACTTTCTCCTGCATCAATGTGTAGGATCAGCTTTTTTATGTCGCACCAATACAGTATAGGTCAATTGGCAACTTCATAGCTTTACTGGTGAAAGAAAAAGACATCAAGTGCTCCTCTCCTCTTTACATTACTATTTCTGGCATTAATGGGCACCCGAGTAGAACCACTGATGTTACATAAGCTATTAGAATCAGCTAATTTAACTGTTATGTAATCTAAAACTGTATCACACTAGAACTAATTTATTCCTCAAAATTTCATACTTATATACACTCATACCATACCTTGAAATCTTGGATAGATGTTTGTGGTTCCCCACTATGATATAAAAGATTTCCTCGTAACTGTAAACTCATCACATGATCTTTGTTAATACCTAGTGACTGGTTAAATTTACTTCTAGACATTCTTAAATTTCCAATTTCTCTGAAAAGTGAAATAAAGAGGAAACAAATAATACAATATGTTAACAAGCAAGGTTTAATGCAAGTGTAAAATGACTGTGAAGAAATAGTGTAACACCACAGCTGTGCACTGTGTACCTTAAGAAGAGCAAAATAAAATGATACCTTTACATCTGCACAAAGCCCTTCTGCATTTTATTTTTTCACTTATAATAATAGTCTATAATCAAATCATTCTTATTTGGGCAATATTTCGATCTTAGTTAACAAGGCAGAACCAACTGTATATATAATAGAATGATGCTTCTTTCCTCAACATAACAGCTATTTTGGACCACTAATTGGACTACTACACTGCATGATGTTAAATTTTTATTTTACCTAAAAGCTTGAGCAAGACTTGTGCAGGCATCAAGATGATCTGGATCTTTACTCAAAACTTCTTTAAACACTTCAATTGCATTCTGCAAACAAACAATTTTTTGGTATTTAACTCCATTCAAATTTTAAAGGATTTCAATAACATTTTAAGTTCCCAACAGTATCCAAACAGTTGACTGGTCAGACAGCATGGATGTTAAGGCTGGGTTAGTGTTATACTGGTGGCAAAAAAAAGCTTACTACTTTTGGTTCCAGCAGACTAGGGGTTAATTGCTATGTCAAGTGTGCCGAGAATTTTTTATGGCATACTTATAATGACTGAAAGTGAAGACAGAAAATAAAATATTTCACATTTCCATGGATTTTTCCTTTCCTTACTCAACATTTAAGAGAAATAGCAAGGGCAAACTCTTACATTAACAATATCAAATCATAAAAGTTTAGTTATAAGACTTATAGAGAAACTTACCCTAACTTTTCCGCGATAGTATTGAGAAAGTCCTAAATAAAACAAACTCTGTAAATCATTGCCATCACTATCAATATTCTTCTTAAAATCTTCCTCTGCAGCAAAATAATCCTGTAAAACAAAATTATATCATCAGTTAATCACATATGAACACTGTACAGGCAGAGATCTGTGACCTAAAATCAACCACTTTTGTAATTTTCATCTCAGCATACCTTTTACAATCATGTCAACCACTGGAATTCTAGCAGCAATGATGACTTGCTGTTGGCACCTGTGAATACCTAGGCCAGTCTGCATATATATATATATATATATATATATATATATATATATATAGGATATGACCTAGCTGCTGTTTTCTGGCAGCAGTATGGGATCAAATTTACCATAGACATTACCAAATTTGAACCAGAACAAGTCAGGTGAAGGTTAAAAGATTTTTATCACATGCTTTTCGGTGGTTTATAGAAATATATCAGTGTTATAAAACTGGTAATTTCACTGTTTGAAACAGTGAAATTACCACTTTGATAATTTCACTGTTTTGAATTTAAGGTAGTACACCCCTAATGGGCACTATAAGGAATTGTAAATTTGACAACATAGGACAGTTATATGCCTTAAATGCCACCTGTATGCAAAATTTAAACAAAATTTACCGTGTGGTTTATGAGTTATAGACATTTTTATGAACTAAAACTTTGCCATTAGAAGGGACTTTTTCAGAAATGAGGAAACTCTAAATAATCTATAATATCATCATTATGAAAAATGTTTTCCTTTTGCTCATTGTTAAGAAATAAATAATGACATTTAGGTAACAAATTAAACAAGCAAAATGATTGTTTTTAAACGAAATGTTTTTAATATGTATAAAAATGTAACCCTACCCCACCCACTTTTAACACTAATTTGACCATTTCCCTATGTAAAAAGCCTTATTTAAAATATCTCTAAAATTTTCCAAAATGAGGGGCTATTTTCAAAGTTTGCCTAAATTTTCTTTAATGTATATTGGTTGGTCTTGCAAAATATAAAATACTTTTACCGTTTAGTTTTTATTTTATTAAACTTTGAAAATATCTGGTATCATATTTGCTATTAAATTTGGCATTATTTAGTAAATAAATACCTACAATAATTATATAATTAAAATAAAACACTTTTTTCTTCCATAGGGGGTCTGAGAGATTAATAAAAAATGTTAAAAAGAAAAAAAAGAAAGAAAAAAAATTGCCCCTTCTGGGGTTTGAACCCACGCCCCCTCAGTTTCAATACACTTTACAGTGATTTTAGCCTATTTGAAATACTCTTCAAAGTGGAGACAGTGATTAGGGGTGTACTACCTTAAGCCCCTTACGTTGTTTTCAGTGAAATACCAGCGTGCACAATACTGGGTACCAACTTAATACGTGACGTCGTAAAATGACGTCACGTTGTATTATTATTTGGCGCGCTTTTCATTCCGTAATGTCTTTTTTAAAACGTTTCTTTGCATGTAATAAAAAGAAAATTTGTTTAGTTTAGTGTAAGATTGAAATATATTTCACCTTGTGAACACCAAAAGTTCATATTTCACTCGTGGCTGCGCCACTCGTGAAATATTCCTTTTGTTGCTCACTCGGTGAAATATATTCCGATCTTACACTGAACTAAACAAATATCCTCTATGACTTCATATGAGCTGGCGCACTTATATCATTTCTGCCTTTTATGCCATTATATTTACAAACAACATCTTCTAAAAAAATCTGCTCATTTCTTCAATGTAGAATTTAAATATGTGATCAAGTAAAAATGGCCTTATACCTATGGTTTCAATAAATGATTAAAGGTGAATATACACCAAATGTTCAAATTTAATAACCAATAGTGAGTACAATATTGACTTCATTAAAATAAGTGAGCTTTTGTAAGCTGTTACAAGAAATATATGACTTCAAACAAACAAAAATTATCAATACAAACTTGTAAAAGAAGGTAGACAACTCCTCTGGCAAACAATATTTTACTGCTGGACTTCAGCTCAATAACTTTAGTTAGATCATCTATTGCTTTGGTATAGTGCTGTAATGCTATGTATGCCTGAAATATATTGTATCATTTAATCATCTAGACGTAGAAGAATGGGTGTGACTGCATTTCTCTGTGACAATTATTCTACATTATTATACATTGAATCTTATGGTCATTTGTCTCTTACTGCTGATTCAGAAATCATTTGTGATAAGTAGTCTGCCACTTGACAGAGATGCTTTTTTCTGTATTTTACAACTGAATAAAGGCTGTTTCCCCTAGCCCAAAACAGGTATATTTTCCCATAAAAATGCTTATATTTTCCACTGAAATGCCCTGTGCACTTCTTCACCAGAACCATGACTTAACAGCAGCTGACTTATATCAGGTTATTGATAAATTTAATTGACTGAAAGACAGAAAGCTGTCCCTACAGATACATGTAGCCTCTATTATATAGCATGCATGTTAAATTGAATTAAAACTGAAAATTTTAAAAAAAAATGTGGGTAAATTCCATTCTCAGTTATTGAAATGTATTTTGATTCCAGATTTTCCCACTTTTCTGATATATTGTGCTATATTTTTTCCCTATTAGAAAGCCACAGGTTGTTTTGAAAATTAAAACAAGAGGGCCATGATGGCCCTGAGGTCGCTCACCTGTATATAGGCCCCCCAACCCCCACCCCCCCCAACGTTGCAGAGCCAATTTAACCCAAGGGCTTTTATTTGCACAAACTTGGTAGACACCCATAAGAAGACGTTTCATGCTAAACATTTAAGCTCTAGCTCATTGGGCTTTTTAAAAGAAGATTTTTTTAAAGTTTTTACTATACACATATAGTTAAAAACAATGACACCCCTTGGGCCGGGCCAGTTTTGACCCCAGGGCTTTTATTTGAACAAACTTTGTAGACACTTACTAGAAGATGTTTCATGCTTAATATCTAAACTCTAGCTATTTGGGTTTTTTCAAAGAAGATTTAAAGTTTTTGCTAAACACATATAAAGAAAATCAATGACCCCCGGGGCGGGGCCAATTTTGACCCCTGGGCTTGTATTTGAACAAACTTGGTAGACACCTATTAGAACATGTTTGATGCTCAATATCTTGGCCATAGCTCTTTGAGTTCTTTAAAAGAAGATATTTTAAGTTTTTACTATATGCATATAGGGAAAATCAATGACCCCCGGGGCGGGGCCAATTTTCACCCCAGGGCTTTTATTTGAACAAACTTGGTAGACACCCATTAGAACATGTTTCATGCTAAATATCTTAGCTCTAGCTCTTTGGGTTCTTTAAAAGAAGATTTTTTAAGTTTTTACTATATGCATATAGGGAAAATCAATGACCCCCCAGGGCGGGGCCAATTTTGACCCCAGGGCTTTTATTTGAACAAACTTGGTAGACACACACTAGAAGATGTTTCATGCCAAATATCTAAGCTCTAGCTCTTTGAGTTCTTTAAAAGAAGATTTTTAAGTTTTTACTATATGCATATAGGGAAAATCAATGACCCCCGGGGCGGGGCCAATTTTCACCCTAGGGCTTTTATTTGAACAAACTTAGTAGACACCCATTAGAAGATGTTTCATGCCAAATATCTAAGCTCTAGCTCTTTGAGTTCTTTAAAAGAAGATTTTTTAAGTTTTTACTATATGCATATAGGGAAAATCAATGACCCCCCGGGGCGGGGCCAATTTTCACCCCAGGGCTTTTATTTGAACAAACTTGGTAGACACCCATTAGAACATGTTTCATGCTAAATATCTTAGCTCTAGCTCTTTGGGTTCTTTAAAAGAAGATTTTTTAAGTTTTTACTATATGCATATAGGGAAAATCAATGACCCCCCGGGGCGGGGCCAATTTTGACCCCAGGGCTTTTATTTGAACAAACTTGATAGACACTCACTAGAAGATGTTTCATGCCAAATATCTAAGCTCTAGCTCTTATGGTTTTTTAAAAGAAGATATTTAAAGTTTTTTCTTTCGGTTGCCATGGCAACCAGAGTTTTGCATGGAATTAAATTCTTTGAACAATTTTTAAAGGTGACCACCAAAGGAACATTCCTGTGAAGTTTGGATGAAATTGGCTTAGTGGTTTATGAGGAGATGTCATTTAAAGTAAAAGTTTACGGACGGACGGCCGGACGACGGACGGACGGACGCCGGGCGAAAAGCGATCACAAAAGCTCACCCTGTCACTTTGTGACAGGTGAGCAAAAAAAATCACTGCTTGAGGAGAACTTGGTAATCACTTTGGTTATCCAGGAAAGCCGGTCAGGTGGATCAACCACCGAGATATTACCAGAAAAGAGTTAAAATCATCACATAAAAACACAGAAAGAAAAACAAGCAAACACAGAAAATAGTGATGCACTACATTGCATATGTCTGCACATAAAAACCATTTTTACCAAACAATAAAATCTTTAAAAAAAAACCTTCATTATTAATATATAAATATTGACACTGTTAGCAGACGAAGGATGGCTTACCTCTGCTCTTCTTTCATAGGCTTGTATAAATTTGTTATCTCTTTCTATTGTTTCTGTAAAGTCATCTATTGCTTTGTCAGCATTATTCTGGTCCTGTGTTAAAATGGAAATGAAATTTACATTATCAAAACAACAACAACAACAAAACCTAAAATACTAGCATACACACAAAAAAAAAAATGTACAATACAATAGCTATCATGTTACTTAGTGTCATCAATGGACCATGGTCCCATTCTAACACTGTTTGTTAATAACATTGCTTATTCCATTTTGACTGCTTTTGCTGAAGTTTATGTTACTCCAAAACTAATAGTAGTACTCGTATAATTGCTTTCTGGCTAAAGAAGACCTCGCAGAATTATTCTATGCATTATTTAAGGCACAAATGGACACCAGATTAAAACAGGAGACTGTCAGACTAGCTGGACAGCTTTCTGACATGAAAGAAGTTAAAATTCCCGTGCATGATTCCAACCCAAAACTATATAATGAAACATTGCAGTACTTTTTTTGGTTTATATAGAATTTATTTTAGTTTGATTGTGTAGGAAGTTATAAGCTTATTGACACTCCTTCGAATTTGGAACCAACCAGCACTGAGCAATGAGTGAAGTTTCTTGCTCAAGAAAACAACAACTTGCCCTTGCTAACATATTGACTTAAATATCTCATTTTAAAAGAAAATATCATAATAAAGTTATACTGTAAGATTACCTTTAAACCTTTTCGTGAATAAGCCACACCTCTCATGAAATAAGCAGCAAGTGTATTTGGTCTGTTACCTATTAGGCCATCATAGGTATCAATTGCTGCATCAATATTACCAGAGTTCAGTAACACAAGACCTAACCCTGAAATAAGAAACATATTTTATTAAAAATCATTTAAACAAAACATCTGTAAGTTTTAAATTAAGATTTCATTCCAAGATAAATCACAACAAAAGTGTAATCTATAGGGGACTGGAGGTCTTGGGTTTAGAAATTTTGTGTTTAGAATAAATCAAAAGGGGAATTTAGCCTGTCACCAATGATACTAATAATTCTATGTAGTATATATTTCATTTTGCAAAACACAGATTAAATTAGCATTTAAAGGGTTTCATGCTAAAATTAAACAAGAGCTGTCGGTAGGACAGCAACGCTCGACTATTCTTAGTGCTTGATAGTAAAAGAGCCTTGATAATGTAAAATTTTCTATGTTAACAAAAGGGCCAAATTTTCCTTTAAATCAATGTTACTGTTATAGGCTTTGAAGAGAGTCCTATTATGCTCTAAAATAAGAGTATAAAATTTCAACTTGTTTCAAAGCCAGATGTCAATAGTATATGAAAAAATCTGAGGTGGTATGCAAACTTTAACGTAAATTGTAAGTCAGAAAAGGGGTACAATTCTGTCAAAATACTTGATACAGTTATCTCCTCCTGTCTACAGGATAGGGTCATGATTGTGAACAAGTGTGCAAAGTTTCAAAGCCATATGTCAATTGACTTTGAAAATATTTGAGGTATTACAAAAACTTTAACATAAGTGGTTACGCCGACGCTCAGGTGACTACAATAGCTCTACTTATTCTTATCGAATAGTCGGGCTAAAAAATATAGTGAGGGGAACTTTTTCAAAAAATAGGAGAAAAACATATATTCAATGGTAAGAGGTATGGACACAAATTACAGGCTCATAAACATGAAATGAGGGCCCAGTATCTTTTGTATAAAATCCTACAAATCTCATACTTTTCTTTTTCATAATATTCAACATGGCACTAAAATAATCATATCATCTAATATAGACATAAATGAATTCTTAAAATAGTACAATTCAACTTTACCTAATGTTTTGTCAATGTCATCATCTCCAGTTGCAAAAGGGAGCACTTTTCTTTGAACCAAATCTTCTCCAAAATTCTAATGAAAACAAAGAAATAAATATATTCATATTAGTTACAAATGACATCTAAAATCTATGCCTTTTTCTTTCATCAAGTTATTCATAGGTTTCTAATCGAAGATTAAAAAATAATCATTTAATTATTTGGTAAATACAGTAGAACTTCTGTAAGTCGAAGTTGAACGGACTTGCGTAAAAACTTCGACACATCGGGACTTCGACTCATGAATCGCTGTCAATTCCATGACACAATTTTGACCCGCGACTAGTCCTAATTATAAGATCTATAACGAAACCTATTTCATGTTTTTCCATCATTAATCTGATATTTTCATTTTACAATGATAAATATAGCATGTTAAATAACGTTTTTCACGGCTAATTATTTGGATTACCCCTAGACGTATACAATAGAGTTACAAAAGGCGTAACAATACGAAAGGGCGATAACTAAACCAGGTTATAGTAAAAATTTTGTGTGTTATTCTCACGCGACACCGGGTCAAGGATGTTTTCAAATGAAAGTAGTTCCAAATACCACTACAGCAATTAAAATTGTAACGATTAAAGCATTTTATCACACATTTTATCGCAAACAAAGGCTGTTTGAACACACAGCTGTGTCACAATAGTTGAATGGAAATCGTCTTCACAACAAGATAAGGTGTGAAAAATGTCTCGACGGATCGAAGGTGTCAAATAATCGAACGACTTCGATTTACTTGTGGTAAATTGCACTAGATTTACTTGATACGGACAACGGAAAAACTTCGACACATCGAAAAATTTGACACATAAATTCTCGTCTCATAAATAGGTTTTTATAAGGAATATATAGGGAGAAAAGTTGGGACTTTCATTTTTTTTCAACACATCGAGGAAATCGACTAATCGAGGTTCGACTCAAAGAAGTTCTACTGTAAATTAACAAATTTTAGTTTCATATGATTAGTAGCTCAAAATGACATTAAATGAAACATTTTTATTTGTTATCACAAACTTGATTTCATAGAAGCCAAAGCTTGTTGCTGTCTCTTTTATATGGTCATGACTCATCAAGCACAACCATTACATATCCCTTACTTCTGCAATGTCATTTGCTTCAAATTCATATTTTGTATTCTTTTAGGTTATCTTGTAATATGATGTCCAATACCTCTGATATTTGGTAACAATGATCCAGTTCATGTTTCTGACATGTACTCAAATCTGAATGGAATGTACAGAGACCCAATGGCAAGTCATCTCTCACAGGATCTGAAAGATAATAATAATTAAAGTGCCTATCAAAATATGTCACAGAAATACGAAGACCTATGGATAATTTACTGAACAAACTTACATGAAGAAAGAAGGGCTGATCAGAACCAAGTGCCACACTGAGCAATTTATCAAGACCTTAAAAAGCCATTCCGAAGTTGTATGTTTATACGGGGAAGTCAAAGACCGGGCCCGCTAAGCGGGTCCGGGCTTTGGCTTGCCCGGCTATAGACTACACGTGTATATTTAAAAGAAAATCAAATAAAAAAACAATAAAAAAATATGTAAAATTATATACCTGTCAATGAAATTTTCAGTGTCAGTTCAAGTCGGGTGCCGCCATTTACAATGTAACTCAATGATAATAGGCGGGGTATTCCGATAACGGAACAAATCTCAACTTTTCGGATTAATAATAATCGCCGAGTGTTCCGAGTGTAAACGGAAGCGATCCATTAAATACCGAATGATACCTTTAAAACGGAAAGAATGAAAATATTTTTTTAACGGCTTCCCCGTTCACAGGCTTTGCCTAATTTCATATTAGCTTAGGTAATTTTCAACCATCTACTTTCTCTGCAAAACTTTCTCTTCAGAATAGTGTGACACATGGAGGTATCATCATTTTGAGCATGCAACCTATGCCGGTAGTGAAATGCTACAATAGTGAATCACTAAATGAAATTCTATTGCTAATTTACTTAAACATGTGGCCGCAAGTGGATAACGACTCGGACTAGTGATTGCTAGCTGCATTGGTTCAAACCCTGTCAGGGGCAAGTTGTTGTTTCCTTAAGCAAGAAACTTTACACTCATATCTCAGTACTGGTTGGTTCCAGGAATGGATTCAAGTGTGCCTATAAGCTTAAAGCTTCCTACACAATCGAACTAAAATAAATTTTGTATAAATCAATAAATCAAACTATGAGCATTTTCAATATAAAGTTGCTTTGCCAAGAAGTAAAAATATTTTAAAGCAACCTCATAAATTTTATAGGAATAGGCCCTTGCCTGATAAGAACAGATTAATTCTAAAAATTAATGAACGAGTTTATACATTCTCAAAATCAAAATTTTGTTCACCACAATCAGGAGAAAGTTCTTTCTCAGATATATAGAGGGTCAACTGTGACTTTAAAGCTGACAGTTCAGGTGCATTGTTGACAGCGGGGAATGCGCATAGAGAGCAAGCCTCCCCCTTTACTGATTCAAGTCTCTTCATCTCAAACGTCTGCGTCCTGCCATCTTCACTTTCCACTTTAACATTTGCAACTTCGCACATTAGTTCCACCTGTGATGTTAAAGCGAATGCATAGTTTAAAAGTATAAAAAGAGTTGTTAAGCGTTTGACCCGCGCCATGTCATCGTCTGTAACCGTTTTCTACCTCCGAGATAGAAGAGTATTCCCAGATAACCTCCCTTAGTAAAGGGAAATAATCAAGAGGCCCGTCCGCAAACGACTAAACTGCTCTGGGGTAGGGAGTATGGCTACTGGTTCCAGTGGTATACCGTCCTAGGAAAGAATGAGTATTTATAATAGTCTGAGGTTGCTGTGAATAACCTATAACATAAGGGATGGCCATGGCGTGATGTTCGGGAGAGGGGTGTCAAATATTCTTCTATGGGGACCCAGCAGTGTTGGGATAGTGTAAAAAAGTAGAAAAAAATATATACTGTATATATAATATATAGAAAGTAATTCTAGAAAAATATATACTGTATATATAATATATAGACTATATATTATGTATACAGTATATATATATTTTTTTCTAGAATTACTTTTCTAATGAAGCTAAATTTGTTTATATCCTACCGTGACCCAAATTCGGCGTTCTCCTAAATTCGGCGATGTTTTGTTTTTCGTCATTCACGCGAGATTTCAGAGGTGAAGGTCAATCATGTTTATTTCCCACGGTCAATTTTTACAACTCGAGTGATTTTTCTGCGCTAAAGATGGAGATACGGCAGGTAAACATTAAAAATTGTATGACATGGAGAAAAATGTGTGTTTTACCTGATTCAATTTCAAGTTTATCTATACCTTCCTTTATTTGATTGATATTGTTGCTTAAAATAATTTGACAGTCGTCGTCTGTTACCTTACTATTTTTACTGCCGATCTAGGTCAACATACTACGTCACACTCCCGCCAAAATGAAAAAGTACGGAAGCGTAAAAGAGACATCATATTAAAATTATTTTTTTTTTATTTCAGAAACATGATTCAAAAAGAGGTCCATATCGAACGGGCTATGACCAGACATCCATTGAGAATGCTTTTATTGAAGTAAAATTAAACAAAGTATCTATTCAAAGAGCAGCCAAGTCTTATGGTATCCCTGTATCAACTTTGAAGGACAGAGTATATGGTAATGTTCCTGTCCATAATGCAAAGTCTGGTCGAACCCAGCTGTTTTCAAAAGAGCAAGAATCTTTACTTGCTAATCATCTTAATACAATGGCTGAGATTGGGTATGGATATTCCCGAACAGAGACTATAAATCTGGCATCTGATTATGCTGTCCATTTGGGACTCAGAGACAGAGAACACCCACTAAGTTTGCGTTGGCTTTACAAATTTTTGAATAGATTTCCTGAACTGTCTGTCAAAAAGCCAAGAAGTCTTGAAGCAGCTAGAGCTAGAAGTGCTACAAGACAAGCTATCACAAATTACTTCAAAGAGCTGAATAAAATCATAGTTGATAATAATCTTCTTAAAAGACCTGAGGCCATATATAATGTGGATGAAAAGGGACTATCAACTAACCACAAACCCCCTAAAATTGTAACTGGTGCAGTATATAAAGCTCAAGCTGTAACTTCTGGTAAATCACAAACTGTAACTGTTATAGGCGGGGTAAATGCTATGGGGAATCAAGTGCCACCATTTTTCATATTTCCAGGCAAGAGAATGCTACCTGAATTACTGGAAGGGGCTTCTGCAGGGGCAACTGGAGTTGTTTCAGAATCAGGATGGTCCAACACTGATATATTCACCCAGTACATGAAAGAACATCTTGTAAAATACTTACCAGAACACAGTGCAACAGACCCAGTTCTTGTTCTATATGATGGACATAAGAGTCATATCTCATTAACACTTATTGATTGGGCAAAAGAAAATCATATAATCCTATTTGTTTTACCACCACACTGTAGTCATTTGCTACAGCCTTTAGATATCAGTTGCTTCGGACCCTTTGAAGTTTCGTGGAACTCAACATGCCACAACTACATGAGGGAATCTGGTGGAAGAGTAATAAGTAGGTATGATGTTTGTAAACTTGCATGCAAGGTATACTCAAGCACACTGACACCAGCAAATATCCAGGCAGCTTTCAAGAAGAGTGGTATATACCCTTTTAATCAAGATGTAGTGAATGATTCTGATATTGCACCATCTTTGAGTTTCCCTGCCAGAACAGTTGAAAAGCAATGCATGTCTTCTCCACCAGAAAAAGCCTCTAGTAAAGAGAATTCTGGTTCTTCTGTAAAATTCCTTGAATGCAGAGGTGGTGAAGTTTTGAAAAATGTTCAAACAGCTAAAATTAGAAACACATTAAGCAAAGTTGTTGGTGGCAAAGCTATAACAAATGAAGATGTTAGTGAAAAAATAAAAGATCACATTGAAAAGCAGACAAGCTCCAAAAAACGAAAATTCATCCCACCTCTAAAAGTAAAGGTACCTGAAACACAAAACATACCTGAAAAACAAAACAAAGGACAGTCAAAATTAAACAGTTCAAAATGCAAACAACCAAAAGTTAAATCAAAGCAACCTAGACTTGAACTTTCTGAAGATGTCTCTGATGAAGATTCTGAAACAGAAGAAGAAAAATGCAGTGTTTGTGGAAAATTTTTCCCAGACAAACAGATTTGTGATGAAATTAGAATTGTTCAGTGGGGTCAATGTGACAAATGTGACCTATGGGTTCACCTCAAATTCTGCTCCCCAGTGAAAGTGTTGCGCAGAGGTGACAGTTTTCTCTGTCCAACCTGTAGCCAGTCATAAATTAAAACAAACAAAAAACAATTTGTAAATATGTTATCAGTTTAAACAGTTTAAAATGTTCCAGTTAAATACTTTCTTGTCAGTTTGGAATTCAAGTAACATTTACATTATTATGACACTTTTAAGACACCATACTTAATGATATTTGTGATGATTTACTGCAACCAATCAAATCGCCGAATTTAGGTGACGTGTTCAGATCGAGGTAAGATTTTACATCCGCCATATTTGTTTATGTTTGGCAACTCTGAACGATAACATTGTTTGAAATTAACTTAAAGTAACTTTTAAATAGTTGTAGTAAAATTATATCAAGTATAATTATAGATTACTGTAGTTTATTGAAAATGCCATTGACATTTGTTCTTATATCGCCGAATTTGGGTTACACCGGGATATATCTGTGCTTTTTTACACTATCCCAACACAGTGCTGGGCCCCTGTAGGGATAACAACCAGACCATGGTGAATCTTATAGAAAAGGGATAACCTAGCATCTGTACCTCTGAAGGGAGTGAAACATGTCCGTGACGCTATCTAGAGGTCTGACCATAATCTAGCTTAATCCATCGGGCTGCTCTTCTTTGGACATTTTCGATTTGATCTATTTGTGTTTTGGTGTGGGGAGACCTTACTTCAGAACCATATTCAAGCTGGGGTAAGCAATAGACTGGTAAGCATTGGACTTAATGGATTTGGATTTAACCTTTATGTTTCTACGCAGGAATCCTAAGGTTTTGTTTGCTTTCTTGGATGTCCAGTCTATATATGGGCACCCCACGTGAGGTTGCGTTCATTGAACGCCGCCTTTCCTTGTTGATCTTGTTTATCATACTTTCTGATATATCCACGCCTAGGTATTTAGCTGAGGTAACCAATTCTAATTGAACTCCATGAAGGTATATTTTGTTGGGATAGGATGTTTCCTTTTTGCGACGTGGATAACTTGACACTTGGATGGGTTAAATTCCATATCCCACTCCAACTCCCACTCTTCTAACCGATTGACGGACCAAGTGGGAGACTCTATGTACATTTAATCAATGATGTTATATTTTTGATCCTTGAAGATCGTTCAGCACGACATTATTGTTGTGCTTGTGGTATTTTTAGTTTCAACTTTTCGGCATTTTCTAGTTGGGTGGTTCCAATATTCCTACTTGAATAATGTTGAATCACCCTTAGGATATGTTGCCTGCTTTTTAAATTTGTCTTTTGACGTCTTATCTGTGATACGCAGGCTTCATAACCTCTGATCCCCTTTCAAAATTCCATTTTATTTAGTTCCGCCCATTGTTTTCTCGTTTAGGGCACACGCTTTTTATTACTTGGGGACCTTACGCCGCTTTTCATGGAATGGCACGGAAGTGTCACATTGAAGGTTCCATGATAACCGCCGTATGACCACATCTGCGGATGTTTCTAAATTCAAAATTTTACTATTTCATGTTTAAATGTTGAATTCTGCTTAAGCCGGTGCTAGGGGGCGTGGACGGTAACTTGCACTTTTCAGTACCGTCCATGAACAGGCTCAATCAAACCGAGCCTGCAACATTTTCAATTTTGCCGTGTTGGGCTTTCTTTAGGGATTCTGTATTTATCTATTTGAAGATCACATCCGTGTTATTTGTGCCGTGTGGCGGCTGTAAAAAGTCTCCCCGTACATTTAATCAATGATGTTATATTTTTGATCCTTGACGATCGTTCAGCACGACATTATTGTTGTGCTTGTGGTATTTTTAGTTTCAACTTTTCGGTTTCGGCATTTTCTAGTTGGGTGGTTCCAATATTCCTACTTGAATAATGTTGAATCACCCTTAGGATATGTTGCCTGCTTTTTAAATTTGTCTTTTGACGTCTTATCTGTGATACGCAGGCTTCATAACCTCTGATCCCCCGTTCAAAATTCCTTTTTATTTAGTTCCGCCCATTGTTTTCTCGTTTAGGGCACACGCTTTTTATTACTTGGGGACCTTACGCCGCTTTTCATGGAATGGCACGGAAGTGTCACATTGAAGGTTCCTAGGGGGCGTGGACGATAACTTGCACTTTCCAGTACCGTCCATGAACAGGCTCAATCAAACCGAGCCTGCAACATTTTCAATTTTGCCGTGTTGGGCTTTCTTTAGGGATTCTGTATTTATCTATTCTATGATGGACAGTTCTTAAAGCCCTTTGAGATTGAATTGCCTTAATGTTCGTCTTCTGTCTTGCTTCGTCGGGCCCTTGTAGGTGATCTTCTTGTTGCTCTGCCTTCCTTTAAGACATTGAGTACTTTTGTTATGGTCATTGGGTTTTCTTTTGTATGTTTCTACATGAGCATTTCGATGTTTTACTTATTTCACCTTTTGTAACCATGACAACTGTTTGAATTTCACTTGGCGGGGATTCATTTTATTTACACTGTCTCGTTTATAGGAACAAGGTCGGGCTAAGTGTGAGGTTTGGTGCACCATTAAACTCCCCAGCAGTATTTATGCTGCTGACCGTTCCAAGGCAGCGCCCCTCTGTGTGCCTCAGATGTATGTCTATGTTGTGTCATACTGTTTTGGTGACACTTTTGTGTCCCTTGTTGTTTTCTCGTCTACGGCAAGTAATTTCCCCTTCGCCCCTAGTTTTTATTTATTTTATTTATTACCCCCCCCCCCCCTTCCCCGGGTCTCATTTCCCCTTCCCCTGTGCCCCTTGAGTTTATGGGCGTATTATTCAATCATTTGTTTTGTTTTTTTAGTTCCTTATCAGTTACATGTACTAATTATTTATTCTTATGTATGGTTTTAGTGGTTAGCCTGCCCATGCTCTTCCTTGTGTCCTGTCCTGTTTTTGTTTGGGGTCCTCCTGGGCTCCTTGCCACTGGCTCTTGTTACTGGGTCGGGTAGGGTTTGCGTTCATTGAACGCCGCCTTTCCTGGTTGATCTTGTTTATCATATATTAGGTCATTTTGGAGGGTGACTGGTTTGCAGATGTCAGAGCAATGTATGTAGCAGTGTCGTCTGCAAACAAGATTATGAGAAATGCATATCATATATGTCCGTGTTACCATATATGTATCCCCAGTATGACTAAATGATTCTGGATTGAGATTTTCTATCATCTGTTTTAATTTCATGTTTAGTTTATATAATAATTTGTATTTTTCTATTCTGTTTTCAGAGAAAGTTGACAAATATAAATCTTTGATAAGCTATGAGTCATAAGGATATATATAATATACGACATAGCACTTAAGTTCAAAAGGTCGGTGTAAAAATGAATTTAATAAATATAACGTGTATGAATGTTAGAAGAAAAAACATAAATTTATACAAGGTTTAAGTTATCCGACTGCATTTTTTCAAAAATCCCTTATATAGTGCCTTCATTTTATATTTCCCTAAGTGCCTTTAAATTCCTAAAGTAGTGATTTGTGTTTTTACATATTACGTTAAAGATGAAGATAAGATCCCCCGAAGCCGGAAGGGCCTCTTAATCTAGCTGACTTATTGATTTCATTTTTTGAAGAATAAGATCACAATAACTTCAATAAGGCTTTTTCATTGATTTTTTTTGTCCTTATATAATTATTGATTTCAGACCATTTATATAGTTTAGTTTACCATGAACATTGCGAAGTAAACACGTCTTAAGTAATCATTTTACATTAACTCTATATTTGCAATCTCTTAAACAAATACACTCTGTGTCCTCGTGTATTATTGATTTCAGAAGGTATTTGATAACTATGTTGAATGAAAGAAAACTGTACAATTTAGCTCGATTTCTGAAATGTAGCACTGATAGAATTTTGTTTTAAAATATGGAGATTCAGTAAGACATATCCTCTTTTTCAGGAATTCTGTTGAAGATTAGTTATAAAGAGACAACATAATAACTTAACTGGAGATTTATATTTTTCATATAACAGTTCGTAACCCATTAATTTTGTATTGTCTTTATGCAATGATTCACATGTCCAATGTCCAGTTTTTACATTCGACGTTTAAACAATCCCTCTATAGATTATGTAGCAACCAATTAAACTCCGAAAAAATAGTACGCCAATCACAGTTAAAAGGAATTACTATATATTAGTGTAGGTCTACATGTATTTGATATATAAAGTATGATTTACTAAAGTCCTCAACATGCAAAGTTGCGCAATGTTTTAATTCTTTTTCACGAAAAACATGTACTATACACCGGAATTGTGAATGTGTACAGCAAGCTAGATGTCAGGGTATGTAAATATTAATTATTAATACGCCCATGATGGTGTAAGACTGGAGATCTACTTTGCACGTAGAGTGACCATTACACTAGATAAACATAGTGATTACATAGTGACTGTATATCACCGAGTCCAATCGTTCACTATGTTTCCCAGGCGGAGAACGCATGAAGAGATCAATTTTACAGGTGGAAAACCGATACTGTGGTAAAAAAATTGTCTTCAATTTCTTTGAAAATGCATATTTCACAAAACTTTATAGCCTATTCTGATCTCGTATGATAACTTTATCCGACAGGCATCTCAAACTCGCCAAATCTTTGTTAACTTATTAGATCATTATCGACAACTGCACAAGAATAATCACAAAATTGGTAAAATCGCTCTTTGATAGCCAATAACTTGACATCCAAGCAAACTTCTAAACATTTGTTACGCTCTAAAGGTTCTTTATTAACATATCCTCATCCACCAAAAGCCTGTTCTATTTCTATTCCGTATTTTTGGAGTATAATATCGTTTAAGGGAATTTTCAAAATGAACGCATGAGCCGAACTTTTCATGTGGTTTCATAGGTTTGCAAAGTAAACGCATGAGCAGGTGGTATTTTTAAAACTCCGGTTTTTCCTAATTATCTAACAAATTTAACATATTCAAACTTTAAAAATTTCAAATTTTATTCCAAATAAGTGAGAGACACTTCTTTTTTTAAAAATTAAAATATACTTTGTACGCTGTATATATATATATATATATATATATATATATATATATATATATATATATATATATATATATATATATATATATACATGCTAATAAGCAAAAGTACGAGGTCTGTTGGGAAAGATCGTGTGAAATTGAAGTAATTCCTCGTTTTTAATATTTGCAAAAGCAGTGGTTAAGACGACAAAGAAAAGCATAATAGTTCCTCGAAAACTTGTAAACGATTGTAGCATTGATGTAATTTCTTGAATTTCTCCAATACATGTTATTTTGTACAATTATTTCTTCCCTGTTTTTATAGTATGAGCATATGAAAATATATTATACACGAATCACGTTTAAATATTCAACATTCGATATAAATTTCCCTTTTTAAACGACGAATTACAAGTTTTTAGAATATGTTTATGTAAGCCCAGTAAATCTTGGTAGTGTATGGTGCTATATGCCGTCCAATGCAAAGCAATTGGTAAAGGTACAAATAATTAATAACCAAATTAAAGCCATTTTAATGCGAAATTTATGTAGCATGTCGACATGCTTATGATTGGTAAAAAATAATAATTGCACTGTGCAAATTGTCTTGTATACTTAATATATACGGAATTGCTGTTGTACTTGTTAAACAAATAAAAAAATTGCGTAGAAGAGAGCTGATCCATTTCACCTAAGAACACAAAAATTATCACTTAGAATGAAGTGTATTTTTATCAATATTACAGAATATGGAAGAATACGACGCCATAATACCCGTGGAGGAACAACCTCTTATTGAATAACTTAAACAAATGAATATTGTTTAATACATAAAACGGAGAGATAACTAAGTCTTGTCATTTTGAATAAAATCAACAACTGACGACATTAAGCTGATTTACATAATAATCTTACATGACACTTTGGAATAGTCCTTGATTTTTGCACGCATTGTAAATGATTGTTTTACAAAATATGTACTTTGATAACTAAATCATGAATCCTGAATAATTGTATACAATTACTATCATACATGCATAATATTAAACAACAAATACAACGAAGGACAAATGACAAATAATAGCGTATGTATACTCTTTTAAAGTCCCTAGACCTCGAAACTTTAATAGTCTAATATAATAAACCTGATACTCAAATAAAGAATTACCAATATTACAAATCTTACATAGATATTATCGAATTTAACAAGTTCTGTAAATAAAGGGAGGTAATTAGAAACACACTTTGCCTATTCTTCATTAAAATAAACAGTGTATTATTTCTAAAAGAAAAACTTATAATGAACCTAAAAAATATGTGTTATTTCAACATTTTCTTGTATGTTCATTTTGTTGTAAGGAAGGTGATATATATTCTTGCTTAAAGATCCTGTATGTTATAAATAAGGATGTAACATCCTTGCGAAATATAAAGTCAGTTCTTATGAAAAACATATACTTAAGAAGTTGACATTATTAAACACATTATATGATATTTCTTGAGGAAAAAAGGTTGTGAAATTTTTATTTGAATGCAAAACTGATTTTTTTTACCAAAAACAGATTTCTAATTATCTCCTTTTATTATCGGAAATTTTAAATTTTGGCAATATCCTTATCAAAAAGGGTTTCTGTAACTTTTAACATTGTTAATTCTTTATTTAAGCCAAAGATTTTTCATATAAGAACATAAAATTTTGAGTCACAGGATCTTTAAGTGTATGTTACATCTTTAATTATTACATACAGGAAATTTAAGTCCCATCAACCGATGATGTTGTATTTTGCAAATATTTTACTCAAAGTTTTAGCAATCAGGATTTATTATATTTTCACAGAATCGAACAGACCTTCATCTATTGCTTATAAGCAATTCGTCATAAGGTATGAAAATAGGGACTTCTGTTTGCTCAAACATTTGAAACGAAAATTTTGGAATTTAAAGGTTCTGTGATCGATAACATGTGAGATATCCATGAAAACTGGAGTATCCAAAAATTCCGCCTGCTCATGCGTTCATTTTGCAATCTGATGAAACCACATGAAAAGTTCGGCTCATGCGTTCATTTTGAAAATTCGCTTAAACAATATTATACTCCAAAAATACGGAATAGAAAAAGAACAGGCTTTTGGTGGATGAGGATATGTTAATAAAGAACCTTTAGAGCGATACAAATGTTTAGAAGTTTGCTTGGATGTCAAGTTATTGGCTATCAAAGAGCGATTTTACCAATTTTGTGACTTTTCTTGCGCAGTTGTCGATAATGATCTAATAAGTTAACAAAGATTTGGCGAGTTTGAGATGCCTGTCGGATAAAGTAATCATACGAGATCAGAATAGGCTATAAAGTTATGTGAAATATGCATTTTCAAAGAAATTGAAGACAATTTTTTTACCACAGTATCGGTTTTCCACCTGTAAAATTGATCTCTTCATGCGTTCTCCGCCTGGGAAACATAGTGAACGATTGGACTCGGTGGTATATGCTATATACATGTATGAACACCGTGTGTGGCTAGAGGCTTAGTCTTAGCGTTCTATATATTGACAGTTATTTCAGTTTTAGAAAAAAATTTGTTTAAAAACTTGGGACTTAAAGACGGTCACTATAGCTGTCGATGCAAAATGCATTATTTATTTGTTGCATATTGGGTGTTTCTTGTCGGATATGTGTGCCTTGAACATGCACCAAGTGTGTCAACCAAACTTGGAGTTATAAATGGAGTTTTTAGTGAAGTATCATTTAAAAATGAAGCATATACAGTAAAGAGATTCTTAGGAGTACCATACGCCAAGCCGCCTGTTGGAGAACTTAGATTTAATTAAGAAACCGGAAGCCGCTGGGAAATTATTACCGGATCCATTTCCAGCTGACAAATTCGGATCACCATGCGCCCAAATTGACATTATGGGTGAAAAGTTTTCAGAAAATACTAATACAGAAGATTGTTTATTCTTAAACATCTATGTCCCGGACCAGAAACCAGAAAGCACGACAGGTCATGCAGTCATGGTATTCATCCACGGCGGAGGCTACAATCTTGGCACGGGAAATCGGTACATTGCCGATCGTTTGGCGTCCGTTGGTAACGTTATTGTCATCACGATCAACTACAGGCTCTGGATATGGGGTTTTCTTGATTTCAATGATGAAAGGGCGCAAGGAAATATGGGATTATGGGACCAACCAATGGCATTTAGATGGGTACAAGAACACATTAGTTCTTTCGGAGGAGATAAGGGTGACGATATTTGGAAAATCTGCCGGGGCAGTAAGTGTCGGGTTACACTCCTTACATCCGGAAAATAAAGGACTGTTTACAAATGTTATTTCTGAGAGTGGTTCACCATCGTTCACGCATGTCTTCCAAACTGACAATAACATTCAAGCTGCAACATTTCTTGCTGAGTTACTCAACTGTTCTACAGACAATCCAGATCCAGTGTATGAATGTATTAAAAACAGTGACAGTGCAGCAATGCTAGATGCTTTTAAAAGCGCTTTAAACGATCCGGCTAAGTTATGGCAAATTGTTTTCACCCCAACGGTTGATAACGACTTTGTCAAGCAGCCACCATTAGACTTAATAAATCTTGCTAAAACCACTGTTCCACCTGAAGTAGAATTTCTTAGATCTTTGAATTTGATAAACGGATTGAATGGGGCAGAGGGCGCCATGTGGCTTTTTATGGTGGAAGGACCGAAGGATAACTACGATGATTTACTGCTGTCAAAAGAAGACATGGATAACAGGATTATCCCGACAGTTCTCCCAACAGCTCCTGAATTGCTAAAGTCACTCGTTAGATCGAGGTATACAGACTGGAGGAATCCGAATGATCCCAAATTGGTACGAAAACAATTCGTCAAACTGTTAGGTGACCTTTATTTTAACGTTCCGGGAATAGAATTCAGTCGTCTGCATGCTAATGGATCAAATCCAGGGAGTTACATGTACAGGTTTACTCCTCTCGTGGAGCAACACTTTGTTAGAACACCAGCATGGTCGGAGTCTGCAAATCATGCAGACGAACTTGGACCCGTGTTTGGCTATAACTTTGACTATGAATGGGCAGCCGACATGAAAGGATATACACCACCTGACTGGGAATTGAACATGTCCGAGCGTATGATGGTGTCGTGGACAAATTTTGCGAAAACTGGGTAGGTCTATTAATTCTGTTATAGAAACCTAAACAAGAAATATGCAATTCAATGTGAATATTTTTCATTCTTTTCAAATAGTCAAGTCAACCTGAGTTATTGTTATTATATTTTGTTATTATTAACTGATAACCAGATGATGAAATGAAATTTTATTGAAGAAAAAAGGTTTGCATACTTTTTGAAAGAAACTCATTCTGTCTTACTTTACTTGAAGGTATAAATATGAAAATTAGCACTTTTGAAATGAAGTTTTTTAAGATGCATGTGTAGAGAACTAAAATTCAATACTAAACAAATGCTTATATTTTAGAAATCCGAACAGGGAAGGGGAAACACAATGGCCTAAATATAGCATCGATGATGAATATTATTTAAATATAGATAAAGAAGACACCGTAGGTCAATTTTTACACGCAGCCGATATGAACTTTTGGCGGGAAATTGAGCTAAAGTCAGCTAAGGTTAAAGGGACTCCACTGATTATTTTTGACATGACAGAAATACCATTTGAAACAGGATGAATAACTTGTGTACAAAATTTCAGATCATTCGCTTTATCTGTTTTCTAGAATAAAATATATTGTGCAAAATGACACAAAAAAAGGAAAAGCGTTTTAATGATTTTTTCTCGCATCGGGAAATGTTGGTTTTATTTTTAATTTTCATTGCTTAGTATAATTATGTTGTTGTTGTTGTTGTTGTTGTTTTTCATTATCTTTTGCCGCTTCATTTGCAGGATATCTTAAATGTAGGAAGGAGCCAATCCTTGTATTGATTTAAATACTACTTATGCAATATAATACGTGCATCAATAATTTTAAATACGTTTGTCTAATCAAAGTAATAACCATAGGGGCAAATCTGGTATTTTAATATTTAGGAACTTTCCAAAATGAGATAATAAGACGATTTTCTTTCCACTCTCTCCATGCGTTCTCCACCTTCGATCTGTGTTGAACGATTGGACTCGGTGAAACCTACCAACCAAACAAACAAAAAATATTTTTTTCTTATAGATCTACAAACTCATTAATTTCAAACGCCCGTTCGAAATGATATCCAGAATGCATGACGTGGCAATAATGATACATGTTATCGTACAAATAACACACAAATTTGACGGAATTGATTTGTAAATTGGTGCACATGATGTTCTCCAATTCTTTAATATTTAAACGGAGACAATGGTATACATACATTTATTTTTAGAATACGCTCTAGATCTCAAACTTAATTAACTATCTATAATATGGTGGCGAAAAACTTATCATTCGAAACTGCCTCGGCTATTATCTATAATAACCTCGGAAACAATACGGATTGAAAGTAGTTCTACCACGTGGTTTACAGATGTAAACAGAAACAAAGATAATGTAAAACGAATGTATATATTTGACATCTAATGTCTGTTCCGGTACTCTTATGCTTGAAAATATGTCTGACAACAATTTGTAATTTAAATATGCCCACCGATGTTCAATTTTAAAACAAATCCGACTAAATGTCAACAGGTTTGTTTTTTGTACTTTCGGTTTCTACGGCCATATTAATAAATATATAAAATAATGTATTGTTTGCTTTTTTGCCAATGAATTCACTTATTTTAGGTGAACTTTTACTACATATATTGGAAAAAAGCTTGTCAACAACTCCCGGGATTAAATTACTATTTGTTTACATGTTTAGTTTCTTAGCGTAGGTTAGACCGGGATACCGCATCCGTTCTGTGTATTCATACTATTGTGTTCGAGGTCCTTATCCGAAGACTGACGGAAAGGGCCGAGTAGTTGCGATTGAAAACGTATATAACTTTCTATAAGTCTATGCGTATTTATGCCTATAACTTGATTTTTCTAATTTGTTGTATTGTAAAGTGGTTTAATATAATGTATAAGTCCTAAAATGAAATATGACAGTCTAGATTTATATAATGATATTTTTACGTGTAAATTATACGATACATTGACGTTAATTTTAACGGGAAACATATAGCCAACGTGACGTCATTTCCGATAACAAATCAAACAAAATGGCCGCGTAATAATGTATTTTTTAATTAAACATGTGAACATTGTATAAAATATGGCCCTGTTAGCCTTAAAATTCAGCGAAGAGAAGCGCAGAAATCTTGCAATATTTATTGCAATATCACACTGGATGTGCATGCTACCAGCTTCCGTTTGTTTGCTTTTAGGAATATTAATTTACATAGATATATCGAACAAAATTTCGTTCATTGAAGACCACATTGGCAATGTGGTACCATTCTTTATTGCATTTTCAGGATTTTTTGGACTATTTTGTCACATATTTTGTGGGACAGTGGCATTTTCTAATAGAACATCTGTGAAGCAGGATAAATGGAAGAAATTATTGCTGCCTGCATTAATCGCAACTGTTTTGCTCTTTCTTTTGGAACTCATCACTGGTATAATGTGTATAGTGCATTTCCAAGGTATGAAAGATTCCTTCATTACTGGCATAAAACGTGCAATGTCTTCCTACAAGGATCGCGTAACGGTCAAAGCAGAAGTTGACACGATGCAGATTTCATTTGAATGTTGCGGTATAAGGTCATATAAAGATTGGTTCTATGTCACATGGATGCAGCCAGAGTTTGTTAGTTCGAAAAAGTCGCATGCAAGGTAATAGCAAAAAGATTCGTTTGATAATATCATGATATCATAATTAAAAATTTCTTTATAGCGAGACAAACGCACTTTACCGGCCGTAAATTCCTTTAGCTAGCAATCTCTAATCTGGGCTATTCATTTTTGTTTATCATTTTATTGCTTATCTACTTCATATCATGGACTACTGTCCCTGAACCCCCGTTTTACTCTCACTAAATCTACTTGTTTCAATAAAAAAATGGCCGCCATATTTTTATTTCAGACATGCGCAATAAGCACCTCTACCGGTAAAATAAATGTTATCAAAGTCGTCCAGCTTGATTGCGTAATGAGCATGTAACTTCGTTATGATTTTTTATCTTATTTGTCTAAAAAAATAATGCAGTATTAGATATTTGCCATAAGGACATTTATAAATGATTACTATTCGCAATACAAAATTCACTTACTGGCCAGCTTACAACAGAGACCTATCCTGCCAAAATCTTTAAAACTCGTAATTTTACGAAAATAAGTTACCATTCATCGAACTAAAATATGTAAAATAAAATGTAAATTACATCATCGTTTTTCAAAGAAACTTATTCGGTACACTTCCACAAAACGTATTCAAAAATAATTTCATGTTTTTGGGTTATTGATAAATTATTGTTGTACTTAATAGTTAAACATGAGAAAGTAATGCAAAAAAACGTGTTGTGTAATACATATATACAGGTGTAACTTTAGTTTCTATTTCTTTAGAATAGATTCCAGTGACATAATTATAGACGATGTGCCATTCAGCTGCTGCACCTCTCACGTGCTCCGCCCGTGCATTAATCATCACGTGCATGACAACGCTCTTCACTTTAATTATGACTACCACGACAGTACTACATTATACAAGCACGGGTGCACGAACAAGCTGGTAGGGTTTTATGGGAACCTTATATTGAAACGGACTGGAGCGCTGATGCTATTCTTGTCAGATATCCAGGTACCTGAACTTACTTCAACATTTACCATCTTTCTTTAAATAGTGTTTATTTACACAAGTCAATAAAAACTCCGAAATGCATTAATACTACCTTTAATATATTATATCTCATCGGACTGAGAATAGCACAAACATATGATTTTCAATGTATTTCTTGTATATTTCTTTGTTATATTTTATTTATATTTCTATTTTAAGTGCTCATGTTTATCTATGTAAATAATTAAAATTTTATGTTTTTAGGTTTTGTAACACCGCACTTTGGGGTCAAACGCACTTTGGGGTCCAACCCCAAAGTGCGTTAAACTTCGCACCGCACTTTGGGGTCCAACGCACTTTGGGGTCAAAATCGAGAAATTGACCCCAAAGTGCGTTAATATGCTACATATCAACGCACTTTGGGTTCAAGAGGTCTAAAGGTGTCATCTGAGTTCTGCTTAAATACTGAGTACTGACTTATTTTCTATCTGCGATATTGGAATATTTGGATGGAGTTCAAGATGGCGGTCAATACTTTATGATGCTTAAGTGATAAAAGTTTCATTAATTTTACCACTTGAAATATCTAAAAATTGTGTTCATATAACAAAATTACGATGGCATAAAAGTGACATTTGCATTTTTTTGTTTTTAGTTTTGTATACATATTTTATTTTAGTTTTGCATACATATTTTTCAGTTTTGCATACATATTTTTTTAGTCTTGCATTCATATTTTTTTTTGTTTTTCGTACATGTTTAATTTTTGTTTTTCATACATATTTTAGCCAGTCAAAACAGCCTTCAAATCTCATAACAGCCCATAGTTGAGTATAAAACTAGCACAGTGGTTTGGTCACATTTCGGCCCATTTTTGGAATCAGCCCAGTCGTTTTCGGCCGGGCAAGTCTGGTTTCGGCCGACCCTTTTCGGCCCATTTTTTTATATTATATGTATTTTATATAATTATTGTTTTTATGATTATACTATTATATTAGTGTCTATTTGGAAAGGGCTGTTGATTGGTGATCAGTTATTATTCTATGAATATGCACCACTCAACCCCACCCCCTGAGAATTGAGAATTATAAAACTTAGGTGAATTCTTTAGCACATCCAGATAATGTGCAGAACTTATATGCCAGGTGTGCCGGCTCAAGATCGGGGTCACACCTACAGGTCAAGGATAAAGACTTGGGTTCCATGTCCGCTCCTTATCTCCGAAACCCCATGAAGGATTTTAAGGCACCTTGTGACAAATGTTAACCACATCGAGACCATATGCAAAACCTTTCTTTGTGTTACCGCGGACTATATATATACTATTTTTTTGATACCTCCAAAAATGAAAACGTTGGTACAAATGTATTTGCAAATGGCAAATGGCATGTAATTTACAGACGGCGAAGTGTTTGAAAATGGTGTTTTACAAATGGTGTAATTATCCAAACCTCTACTTTGCAAATGGCGTCATGTAAGAATATGTACGAAAAAACAAAAATAAAATATGTACAAAAAAAACTAAAATAAAATATGTATGCAAACTAAAAAAGAATATGTATGCAAAACTAAAAAAAGGTATATATTCAAAACTAAAAAAAATATGTACGACAAACAAACAAAAAATATGTACAAAAAACAAAACAAAAAGTATCAAAAAAATACAAATGTCACTTTTATGCCACCGTTCAAAATACTCTAGAACAGAAATTGTGTATTCCTAGAATTAAAAGATACTGCTAAAATATTCCGTTCTGTCGGTCATTTACTTGATAACTTTTGGTGCCATATTGAGCCCCATTTTAAATATGTTGGGAATGAAATAAAATTCAGTTAATATTTTTTCCAAAGAACTATAAATAAATTATATTGCAATGTTCTGGTGAAACATCAAGTTTTTCGATCGGACTATAAATAGTGATTTTTACAAATACATTATTAAGCTTATCAACAAAACTTAAGGGTTTTTTGTAAGCTCCGTAACAACTGTTCGCCAGAGGCTTTTTTATGGAAAATCTTACATACTTCTTTAGAAAGAGCAAACATGAATTTTATAATGTTACAATAATGGTATCAGAAAAATGTAAGATGCTTGTTACCTGAATAAAGTAGCGATAAATGTGAAATTATTTGTCATAAAAGAAGTCAAAACACTGTAGTATTTGACTTCCATATAAAATACTAATTCACTATAACTGTACTCATCATTGCCAAAAAGCAACAGATGAAAAATATGGTTCAGGTAATTGGCTAATGTGTATTTTTTTAATAATATAGAAGAACATCAAAATAAAAAAGCTTTTAAGAAAAACAAATAAAAGCATAATGGGCCTTTAAAACATTATTTTTAACCCTGGGGGGTAGATACCCCACAATTCCCTCTATATCCCCAGTGAGAATTTTACATTATTCCGCTCTTAATGTGCGACTACTTAAACAGTTGATATAGTTAGAGTCCATCCGAGGGTAAAATACAAGAATCGTTCAGATAATTCTACAAGCAAACCACTTTGTATGTTAATAGTCTGATATCTTACCCATCAAATTTCATCGAGACCCCAAGCTCAAAATCAATGTGGTTCCCAAAATTCAAAATGGCCGCCAAGATGGCGGCTGAATTTTCTTAAATATTCACATATTCTTTTTTCTATGTTTAAACTACCAAACTAGGATATTCTAATCTCTTTTGTTGAATATAAATATTGAACATAGAATGTTTTTTGTAAAATTCTTGATTTTTTATAAAAAAGAATTACATACAAAATTTTAAGCCATTTTTTAGTTGAAAAAAATATAAAAAAAATGATTTTTTATAACAAAAACAAAGTTTCAATTTTCCTTGTGCTTCAAATGAGCCTTCAAGTATATCAAACAACCATTAGTAAACTAGATTATAGTGTATTTTGCCATTTTAACAAAAGTTTGCTACACCTATCTCTATTTTCTTGTCTTCCTGGACGCGAATAGTGGGTGGGGTAAACAGACAAAAACTAATGACAAAAACTACTTTTGTTAACACAATAACTATATACATATATCTACATACTAATAGTGAAAATACATGACTAACAAACACAGTTTGAAACCCTACTGATGCTTGGTGACATTGCAGATTTATTTATGTAAGTACAATTTTTCATTGTTACATATTTTCAAATAAGATAAAACATAGCCACCCCACCCCATCCCCCCACCCTTTCATTGGTACCTGTGACATCATTTTCTAAAGTTAATCAAATTTTATTTGAGGTTTTGTTGCATTGTTACTATAGTTCAATTGTTTTTTTTAATATTCTGGCTTTATATGAAGACCACTATAGTTTTCAATGCAATATTTTTGCTATACAGTAATATTAAAATCTTAGTTGTTTCCCTTTGTTACAAATACGCCATGAAATGTGCAGAAGAATACAAAATCTGAATGACAAACTAACATTATGTGATTGTTTCCCAATTTATTAAACCCTTGTAAGTTTGGTAAACAAACCATGTCAACCTTTTTTAAAGATTTAAATACAGTTTATCCCTATATATTTATCCCTAAAGGCTTACATCATCATTGCTTTGAACTTGCATAAAAGTCGGATGAAGATAGTTCGGATGCATTTTTTTTCATTATCAATACAACATTTTTTTTTCAATAAACTCAATTTGAATTTAAATCAGGGATGTCTGTGTTAACAACAAATAATGGCAAATTCTTTTTATTCCAGGATTTGAGCTTTGATGTGTGTCACATACTAACCAAATCTAACAAGATGTAACCTTGCAAATACTAACATTATTTACTAATACCATGTCATCGAAAAAGTTAAATTTGGTCCCCGTTGAAAGAAGTTGTTTACTCCCGTGCCAATCAGCAAGTTCTAAGGAAATTGACATAGACTGGGAAAAATGCATCCTGTGTCAACAGGAATCTGAAGATGCACTAGTTTGTCCGTTAATGAGTACAAAGAAAAATACAGATACACCTGTTGGTTATAAAACTATAGCTCATGATATTGAACGATTTGTTAAATCAGACATTTGCCCATTTAGACTTCACAGTTCACTTACAGATGATGAAGAGATTGTTGTAAACTTACTTACTCAAAATAGTGCTAAATGGCACAAACTATGTAGAAATAAAATAGATTGTTACAAATATGATAGAGCCATAAAGCGTCAAGCATCTAGCTGCGCTTCTGGTGGAATACCTAAAAATTAACACGTTTAAGTAGTGGTGATGCTGCTGCCAAAATAGTTTATTTGTGTTTGTTTTGCAACAGTAACAATGGAAAATTGCGTAAGGTGTCCACACTAGAAATTGATCAGAAAATACGAACATGCGCTCTTGAAGTTCATGAAACGGTGCTTCAAGCAAAATTAAGTGCTGGAGATCTGATATCACAGGAAGCACAATGTCATTTAGAATGTTTATCTGCCCTGTATTACAAAGCATCTTCTATGAAGAAAGGATCTTCTGCAAATACTGATTATTCACAGGCACACGGAATAGCTTTTGGTGAACTTGTGGCTTACATAGAAGAAACACAAAAAGTTACTGACTTTAAAGATATTCCCATCTTAAAACTGTTCGATCTAGCGAAATCATACAGTGTCTTGTATTACAAATGACATAACTTATAAAAAGGTCAATTCACCATATGTGAAAGAGCGTATTCACACAAGACTTCCATTTCTCGAGGCACATCGACATGGTAAGGAAGTTTTGCTGGTTCACAGGGAAAACATTGGTGAAATGATCAAAAGTGCATCTGAATATTCATATGATGAAGAGGGTATGTTGCTGACTAAAGCTGCAAATATAGTGCGAAGGGATATTCTTAAGAATGCAACAAAACCATTTCAGGGTGAATTTAATCAAACAGTGACGATTCCCCAGTCACTAGTAACTCTTATTGCGACAATATTAGCCGGTTCAAGCATAGTTAATAAAGCAGATGATACATTGTTACAATCACAGAAAGTCACGAGTGTTTCTCAAATCATTGTTTATAATGTATCTGAAAGTAAAAATG